CTTTGTAGACCAGGCTGGCCTCAAGCTCACAGATTCTCCTGCCTCCGCCTCCTGGGTGCTGGGATTAGCGCCAAATAGCTTTTCAATTAATGTATTACTAGGCTACTGTTTGGCTCTACATGCATTCCTTGAGGAAGTATGCATAATTTACTCTGTCTTCTAGCTGTTGCCTTACAGTGTATACTTTTCTGGGACCCTGTGGTTTTTTTTAATAAATCTTTATTGGCTGTGTACACACACGGTAGAGATATAGCTAGGACTGAAGAATGGACATGGCTAGCTTTCTCTGGAACAACAAAACAATAGAGTACTGTTCTCTTATAGGGCTGGGTACTCTTATAGACAGTGTGTTATTTTTTTCTTGTTTTGTTTTGTTGAGACAAGGTTTCTCTGTGTAACAGCCCTACCTGTCCTGGAACTAGCTCTGTAGACCAGGATGGCCTTGAACTCACAAAGATCTGACTGCCTCTGCCTCCCAAGTGCTGGGACTAAAGGCTTGCTTGGCTGCCACTGCCGCCACCACCACCACCGGGCTACAGTGTATTATTCTTATAGAGACAGCGATGTCATTGAAAGGTGATAATTTTCCAAATATTACTACCAGAATCTGAGAGTGCTGAATCACACACAGCAACTACTTGCAAAAAATTTTACTTTTATTTCTGCTCTTTGAGCTGTTGCAAATTATTCAGGAAAAATTAATTCGGAGTATTTATTAACCAAAACAAACAAACAAAACCACTGTGGACTGATGAGGTGGTTGTGGGCAAAGGTGCCAGCTGCCATATCTGATGACTCTTGGGACCCACATGGTGGAAAAGGAGAACTGACTCAACTTTGCCTTTTGACCGACACACAGGTGCCACGACTTAGTTGACACTCCCATAAATAAATAAACAAACAAATAAACAAAGTTTCTTAAAAGTTACCGCAGGCTAAAGTAAGCCCAACTCCTATTTAAGCTAATACAGTCTATGTGCTACGCATTCAACAGACAGAAATTATAAAAATTTGTATATCCATAAACAAAACTCTAACACAAGCTTACAAAAGCAAAACAGCATAAACTACACCACACTTTGGCATGTCTATCTATGGCTAACAGTTCTGTAACAGTCGTTTCACTCTCAAGCTTTGTTTTCTATTTCATTTGAAAAATGTAAAATTCTAAATAGCATTTTCTGTGAGCAAATAAAAAATTTTTCTCTCTAAATTTATTCAGAGAGGCTAGAGAGTTGACTCAGTGGTTAATGGTGCTTTTTGTTGTTGTGAAAGACCGGGGTTCAATTCCCAGCAACCACACGGAGGCTCACCGCCTCCTCAGGCAATAAACACACATATGGTGCACAGATACAGACACATAAAATAATAAAAACAAATCTAAAACAAAATAAATTTATTCAAAGATAGTTTATTTTTTTCTTAGCAAGCACAGGATGTTTCTTCTAAAACATTTCATAGGAACTCTGCATTGCAAAGCAGGTGCAGAGGTGCAGAAGCAACTCCTCTGCATACTCCAGTCTCTGAGTAGTGACCTTTTGAGGGTGCCTGCACACCCCCTCTAACCAGCAGAAAGCAGGGAAATGCATCTGCTCTCCTGGTTTCATGAGCATTCTCTTGGCTGCAGTTCCGAGACACGTTTATATTTGCTGCACTAAGCATGTACTTCATACTCAAGAGTTCTCATGTGTATCAAAGGAGCACAAATCTTTTCTGGCTTCATCATACTTTTAAATCAGAGCTTTCATTATTGAGTTGCACATAATTCTATTCACATACAGAATTGAGCTCAATGAGTAAAAATGTAAGTCAGTTTGTGGCCTAGGCTATACCAAAAATGTTTACATAGCAATCAAAATTTAGTGGCAAACAAATTAGTTTGCCTAATTAGACCTGGCACTATGTCACAGAACACTAGTAAATAAGTCTGTGACACTAAGAAGTACAGGTAGGCTGGCAATTTGACATATTGACAGATAAAGCCTGTTAATTTTTATTTTTTATACTGGCAACTGAACTCAGGATTTGAACATAGTAGGCAAAAACTCTATCAAATGAACTACAACACACATTCTCTCTCTCTCTCTCTCTCTTTCTCTCTCTGTCACACACACACACACACACACACACACACACACACACACACACTTTTAAGAGAGGGATGAGGCTGGCCATGACTCCTGATCCTATTAGTTTGTCCTGAGTGCCGGGATTACATGTATAAACCACTATGCCCAGAATAAAATCTTTATTGTTGTATGTTATATCCCAAATTTAGTTAATGTAACAGAAAACATTGAACCAAGACTTCATAATCTACTACATACTATGAAAATGTACTAGTTAACCTAAAAAAAAAATAGAATTAAAAAATAGAAAAGACATCTTTTAAGTTAATGGCCAGGCTAGCTACAATCAACACTAAATATACATCAGGCTGGGAAGAAAAGTCTTAAAAGATTTTTAACAAGCTAGTTAATAGGGCTCTCCCCTCCAACTGCTTGGGATTGAACCCAGAGCCTCCTGAATGCTAGGCAAATGCTCTGTCACTAAGTTACAGGTTAATGTGGCATTTACCTAAGACAAAACAATACTAGCATCCATTAGAACATCTGGATTTAACAGTCTGAGGAAAGTCATGACAATGTCTCAATCAGTTACAGCCAAGTTACAGCCAAGTACTGAAGACTGGACAACAAAACCAACACATGTGTAGGCATGTGCAGCATGAAGGGCTCTGCAGAATGAGAACGCTACCCAAAGCATTCCTCTGACTGCACCTGCCAACTCAGCCACTACAGCAGTGAAGGCTCCTCTGCCTTACAGTAGCTACCACAAACTGACTTTCCTTTCCAACTACATGATGGCGAGAAGTGACAGAGGGAAGTAAAAACACAGTCATCACTAGGCAAGCTAACCTTTAATTCTGGGACCCCATCTAACAGTTTCTCTCCTTTCATAACAATGGTAGGATGCCTTAGCAAAGAATTCTTCTTTTTTTGTTTTGTTTTTTTCAAGACAGGGTTTCTCTGTGTGACCAACTGGCCTAGCTGCCTTTGAACTAACTTTTGTAGGCCAGGCTGGCCTCGAATTCACAGAGAGCCGCCTGCCTCTGCCTCCTGAGTGCTGGGATTAAAGACGTGCACCACCACCATCCAGCTATTTCAGTTGAGTTCAGCAAATTTTCATGTATCAAAATTTTACTAAGTTTGGCTGGGTGAGGTAGTACATGTCTGTAATCCAAACACTCAGGAGGCTGACACGGGAGACTCATGAGTTAAAGGCTAGCCAGTATTACACACTGAGAATGCTTCCAAAAAAAGACCTGAGCTAATATGATGAAGGTTCCCAGTCTGCCAGGAAAAGCAGAAATATAAACAGTAACGCGTCATAAAATCCTTCATCTAAAGATCGTCTTTACTAAAGAAGTTTACCTTTTGGCAGCCTCAAAAAGCAAAATTAAGATTTCACCTATTCTTTGAGAAAATTACTAATTCTACTGAGCATTCAATGGTATGATATACAGTCCATTTACATAAACAAACTTAAAAGCTTGTTGAGATCAATGAATAATCATCTCATGAAGATTCAGCAGTAGATGCTTGTTGGAGTGGAAAATAATTAAAAATTGGTTTGAAAATGTCCAACGACCTAGCAAAAGCTACCTGAAGAGCCACAAAAGTCAAACATAAGCCTCAGTTAAAAGTCAAAGGTTCCACAGAATCACGTTACTGTTTCTATTTCTACTAAAAGTGAACACAAATTTTGGGATCAATACTTTCCTGGCAGAATTACGACTTTGGTACTACGTCTTCTAGAAAAAGCACCTGTTCCTTCTGTCAGCTGCCAGCTATAACCTCCCTTTACTACCCTCATTTTTCTACAGCACTATAGAAAAAAATTATCATTCATGCAAAAATCTGCAAAATAGAATACCAGTCCTGAAAAAGTTGTCAAAATTACCCCTCAAACTTTTTACAAGGGAACCCCAATCCTGGAGTTATCAATGGGAAGATCTTGCAGGTTCCTGGACTGATGGCATAGTCCTCTTAACCCAGGAATATGGGGCCATATTTCCACCCTGTGGCAATTTGCGGGTCAACTCAAGCCGTACGCAAGTGCTAACAATTTTCACTGAATTATTTGAAAATCCAAGAATCCAAAACCCTCTTGCAGGTTTAATTTTTAAAGTTAAAAAGTAATGTATTAAGTCCTTTCTTAAGATTTAGACTTGTTCGACATCTAAACCTTCTTAAGAAAGCACAAAGAAAAAGACTCGCGTCAGAAGAAATCTGAGCGACATCTCTATTTCCAGAAATCACTACCATCTTCTAACATCACTTCCTCCCCATTCGCCTCCCCTGTCCGTGGACGCGAATCGGTGATGCATACCCGCTCCTCGCACTCCAGATTCTTAAAAGGACCACAAACAAGAGAGCCCTATAGCCCACATCCACTACTCAGAGATCTTTGACGCCTTGAAAGCCACTTTCCTGTGAAAATGTCAAGGTCCTGAATTAGATCCCCCAAGGGTTCATTTTTCTTCCTGGACTTTTTCTTTCTAACCTTTAGGCCAAGAGACTTCCCATCCGACACCTCCCTCTTTCCAGCCAACCCTAACTCCCGGCCCTTCAAAGCCACCATTCCCACCGGGTCAGGTGGCTGTCAGTCCCCACCCGGCAGCCTTGCCCTTGCGCCGGTTTCAGGCGGCCCGGGGCCAGCTCTTCCCATCCCTCACAACCTCGGCAATAGCACAGAGCACCTCCTCCTCCGCGTCCGGATTCCGGGGACCCCTCGCACGTCCCTCCTTCACCAGCTGGGCTGTAAGGCCCCTGCGCCTCGCCCCTCGTTGCCCGATTTCCTCCGGATTCCATTCCAGAGCGGCCTACCCCGGCTCCCCCAACCGTCTCCCCGCGGTCCCCAGCGTCCCCGGCTCTCACTCACCCTTGGCTGCAGGTGCCCCCCAATCTCCCCTCTCCTCAGCCTCGGAGCCCGCTCACCTCCGCGGTGGGAGCCGAGCTGCCCGGACCCAGCTCGGAGCTGGCGTCCGGGGTCCTCGGCGCGTCAGCGGAGCGCAGCGCCTCGAGCGGCAGACGCAGAGCCCGGGAAGGGGAGTCGGAGCGCAGGCTGGAGCCAGCTCGGCTACGCGCGGGCATCGCTCCGGCACCTTCGGCGCCCCGCCGCCAGCAGCGGCCAGCCGAACCGGAACTGCTTCGGGGGGCGGGGCGTATCGGAGAAGGGGCGGGGACAAAACCGGAAGGGAACCGAGAAAACCTAAGGAAGGAGAGAGCGCATGCGTCAGGGCCAACCCTAGGCAGCCAAGGAGTGTTAATGAGGATGGGAGAGTTCCAGTGGGGTTGCTGACCGGGGTAAGGGCCTACTAAGAGTCTATTCTGAGTTCTTTGAAGGGGCTAGCTCCTCCTTATCCAGTCCCACGTAACGCTATTATTATTGCTCCTTTATTCTGACTGTGTCTATGCAATCTGACTGTAATCAACTCTGTTTCAACTCTGTGTGTGCAAAGCAGATCTCACACACACACAGAAAGGTCAAGAAACACTGTAGCCTGACACAGCACAGTTAGTATGTTTCCAAGCTGGTATTTCAACCCCCAATTGTCATCAGAACCTGTGTTCTTTTCCTCCACTACTCTATCTAACAGAATGCCCCCTTCTAACCCAAGCCTAGGGCTGGCAGAAACCATGTCCAAAGCCATCTACAACTTGAATTTTAGGTCGTCTTTGGCTCTACTTCCTTGAGCAATGCAGAACCAGCTTTGGTGTTTCTAAACCAAACAGAACCTGTTGGGAGCAGGTTCTGAGGTGATAGACAAGTAGACATGGGTGCCTTGGTGTGGCCTTTCCCTTCAAGCTAGACTCCAAGAGCAGGGGTAGCCAGGAATCTGTTCAGTTCCCTCATACCCCTCAGGGCCTCCATGAAGCCACATGAGACGGCAAGACATCCCTTGTAGGCAGAGGACTCTGCTATCCCCAAAATGTTTCTGATGGGGGTAGAGATGTAGTTCAGTTTTAGAGCACTTGCTGCTCTTGCAGGAGACCCAGGTTCAGTCCCCTGCCCCCACATGACTCCTCACAACCACCTAGAACTCTGATTCCAGAGGATTCAACACTGTCTTCTAGCCATGGCCGGCACTGAGTGCGTGTGACGCACACACAGATGCAGGCACTCAAACAAAATCATTTTTAAACTTATTTTATATGTCTAAGTGTTTGCCTGCATGTATGTCTGTGCTTCTAACTACTGAGCCATCTCTCCAGTACCAACAAAATATTTTTAATTATAAAAATAATAAATCTTTTGCCAGATGTGGTGGTGCATGCCTTAATCCCAGAACTTAGGAGGCAAGAGGAAGGTGGATCTTTGGGAGTTCCAGGCCAGCCTGGTCTATGAAGTGAGTTCCAGGACAATCAGGGCTTTTACATAGATAAATCCTGTCTCAGGGAAAATAAAATAATAATAATAGTTAGTAATAAATGAATAATAAATCTGTTAAAAATGTCTCTGATGCCAGGTCTTTTGACTCTCAGAACCTAGGGCAACTTTTTGTTCACCACTCTTTGACATCTAAGGGCCCACCAGCTTTTTCTTTTAAGAAATTAGCTATCTTCATTATAGAATCATCATTCAGATCTTTTATGTGCATTTTCTGGGCACACTTCAGATGCTTTCCTCCATGTCTCCCTAAGTTTTTCTAACCCCACAACTCAGACATTTCCCCCGAGTTCCACCTTCTAAAGGCTCCAATCATGTGACAAAGTTTGTAGCCCACTTGGACCTGCAAAGCTCTTTCCTAACATTCATCACTCAGTGCTCTAACTCTGTCCTCAGAATCTAACAACCTATGCTAGGGCTCTAAACCTGTGACTTCAACTATTTCGAAACACCTACTGTATGCTAGCCACGGTGAACCTTTTGCTTAACCCTTGAAACAATACTTACCTCCAGGGCAAGTGCTTACTTAACTTTACAGAAGAACCTGATGGAGGTGGAGAAAGATAGTGACTTGAAGGGGTCTAATTCCACGTTCTCAGAGACTTTACGGATGGGAGTTGACACAAGAGATATAGGTCTTGTCCTCTTTGGAGGCCCCTGGGACTTGCTGAGTCACTTTGTCTCACCTGTCACTGCCAATCTTTGGAAAGGAGACATGACACCAGGGGGCAGAGAAGAAGGAGCCAACAGCAGAGGCAGAAGGGAAGGCAGGCTGGCCCATGGCTGAAGCCTCCATCCCAAAACTGGGGGAAGAAACAGAAGCCACACCTTGCCCCAGTGTCCTGCAGCTGGAAGAGCTCCTGAGGGCTGGGAGAGCCTCTTGCAGCCGCGTGGACGAAGTCTGGCCCAACCTTTTCATAGGAGATGCGTGAGTGGCTGCTGGCAGGGTTGTAGGAGTAGGTCAAGAAGAAACAACCCTAGAACTCTTTACCACAGGAGGTGGCAGAGAGGGAACAAGAACTAGTTGCTTCTAGTCCACCCCAGGCCAGGAATTTTCTCCTGACTCCCTTAGCGCCGGGAGCTAGTCAATGACCAGTTTCTAACAGCAGAGGGAGCGTGAGTGTTTTCGTTTTGTTTCTTGGGAAGGTCTGAGGGAGTTGGTGACTGGGAGATCCCTGGGGTCTTCAGGCACATCCTAGACAACTGGCCAGTCTGGGAAGCAATAACGTTTGGAATTTGAAATGGAATAGCCACAGATCATAGTTCTGGTCCCAGCTTGTGTCCTATAGACGCTGAGTGGGTGGAGCAGCCTGACCTAGGATGAATCAGGAAAGGTGTCACTTCTAAATATTTGTAGATTCGTGGCAGGTGTGACGTGGTGACCACGCGACTCTAGATAATGTACATGAGTCAGAGGACATGTGGCAAGAAGGGAGGGGCAGCCAGTTCTCGGGGGCTGAAGCAATCTCTTCCTGGCTTTGGTGGGGGCAAGCTGCCTAAGACAGCAAAAGAAATTTAAACATACTCCTGGCACCACCAGCTCTACCAACAGAAAGTTCTGGGACAGAGGGTTGCAGGCCCAGCTCAGTACAGATGAATTCTAGCTACCTTTCTACCCTTATACGCTCCCCAAATCGAGCCAGAGGCTCAGCCACCTCCAGTCTCCTTTCTGCTCTTCCCAGGGTGACAGCAAATAACCGCTTTGAGCTGTGGAAGTTGGGGATCACCCATGTGCTGAACGCTGCCCATGGGGGACTCTACTGTCAGGGAGGCCCGGACTTCTATGGCAGCAGTGTGAGCTACCTGGGGGTACCAGCACACGACCTCCCTGATTTCAATATCAGCACCTATTTCTCCTCAGCAGCTGACTTCATCCACCGTGCCCTCAACACACCTGGGGGTACGTGATAGCAACTACATATTTGATTCTGCTCACTTGTAGGGAGGATAGCCCATTTCCCTCCGTCCTCAGCATCCTCCCATCCCTGGCTTTTGCTTTGTTTTGTTTGTTTCTCTTTTTGTTGTTTTAACAATCTTCTGCTCTATGCCTCAGCATCTCGGCTAATGACATTGCTTCACAGATGGAGAAAGTCAGCTGGGCAGTGGTGGTGCACACCTTTAATCCCAGCACCTGGGAGACAGAGGTACATCCTGGGCAGTGGTGGTGCACACCTTTAATCCCAGCACCTGGGAGACAAAGGTACATCCTGGGCAGTGGTGGTGCACACCTTTAATCCCAGCACCTGGGAGACAGAGGTACATCTCTGTGAGTTCGAGACCAGTTTGGTCTACAGATTGTATTCCAGGACAGCCAGGGCAACACAGAGAACCCCTACCAAAACCACCAAACAAACAAACATAAACTAAACAAACAAAAAACAGATGGAGAAAGCCCAAAAACCAAGGCATAATAAATTAGGAGCAGCCACGCAACTGGAAGCTAGATCTCCCAATCGCCTGAACAATTCTTACTGCACAACAGGCAGCCCTGGGAAAGCACCACATGGTACCCAGAGGTGTGCCCCAAAGTACCTCCAAATGAACAAAAGAAAACACCCAGGATACAACAGGCCTTGAAGGGCCTCAGAGCCCTTACTGTATATTCATCTAGGGAAAGAGCCATGCCCCTTTGCTCTGTAACCCTGGACTAGTCAGTGTCCTCTGGAGTTTCGTTTCCTCATTGTTCTGTGATGAGGGATTTGGTCAGGGTCACGTTGCTTTGGAATAGCCCGAGCACTGCGACATCCTCTCTTTCTTCATCTGCCCATCCATCTCCTAGTCGTTATTCACTCCGCAGCAGGGGAAGCACTAAATTCTAGGAAGCCAGACCTGCTCTTGTAGAACCTGCTAATCAAACTGTGATGTGCTCTGAGCGTCACTGACGCGAGAGGGCAGACACCCGGTGCAGAGGACCACGCGTCGGGCACTGCTCTCTGCGGCGGCTTCCCGAGGCACACGCAGAACGGACTAGCTACTCGGTGGCTCAAGTGCTATGTTGGTTGGGTGGTGAGGAAAGCTGATGGGGGAAGCCATCTGAGTGTGGCTTGGTGGATGAGTAAAGGCTAGTCAGACCAAGATCAGAGGAAAGGTCAAAGGCCACGACAGCTCCAAGGCTGAAAGTCTTCCTGTATTCATAGAGCCGAGGTTCAAGACAGGTTCTGATTGAGGTGAGGTGCACGGTCAGAATGGCTAGTTCTCAGGGGCTTTTGTTTTGGTTTGTTTTTATTTTCGAGACCTCTGTGTGTTTTTCTCTCTAAGTAGCCCTAGCTGTCCTGAAACCAGTTCTGTCGAGCAGGCTGACCTTGAACTCAGAGATCTGCCTGACCCTGCCTCTGCGTGCCACCACCACCTGGCCTCCAAGGCTTTTGTAAGTCACGTTGAGGGTTTGGACTGTAGTTCAAGACAGGTGTTAGTCTACTCTTTTGAAAGATCAGGAAACTGGGGTCCAGAAAGGCCGAGACACTTGCATAGGGTCCCATAATACACCCAAGGCAGGTTCGGGGAATGGAATTTGCGCTCGGGTCCCATCCCTTGGGTGGGCTGGCTGGTGTTCGGAAGGAGTCAATCACCTGAAGTCTTTTTCTTCTCCAGCTAAGGTGCTAGTGCACTGTGTGGTGGGTGTGAGCCGCTCTGCCACGCTGGTCCTGGCTTACCTCATGCTGCATCAGCAGCTCTCCTTGCGGCAGGCAGTCCTCGCGGTAAGTCAGCACCGATGGATCTTCCCCAACCGCGGCTTCCTCCGCCAGCTCCGCCAACTGGACCAGCAACTGCGGGGTGCAGGCCAGAGCTAAGGAACCCGGTAAGGAAGGGCGAGGAGGCAAAGCTGAGTGTGGTTGGCAGTGAGAAATCAGCTGAGGACCCGGTTGGCAGGGTCACCTGCGGCCTCCCCACTCCTTTTCCCGAGCTGCTAGGTCCCCTTGCCTGTCCAGGGCCTGCCAGGCCGTCCTCCCACCTGAATTCTTTAGCTCTCCAGAGAACAGAGAAAGGTGGAAGATGGCTTAGTGGGTAACAGCCCTTGCCACACAAGCAAGAGGACCCGAGTCTGACTCTCCAAAACTAACATAAGATAGGAGACAGACAAATGAGCCCTGGAACATAATGGGCCTGGTATATGAAGTGGAAAAACACATAAAGAACAACAACAAAGCAAGATACCGTTTCAAACAAGGTAGATGGCAAAGCATCAGTGTCTGAAGTTGGCCTCTGACCTCCACTTACACTTGGTACTCAAATATTCAAACAAATGTACGTACATGGCCAGAGGGCGAGAGAATAAAAGAGAGAGACGAAGAAGGAAAGGTTAGGGTTAAGAAGCCTCATGTGCTGTAGGGAAGGCCTCCCTACATGCTTTTGAGTGCTACCCAGCCCTCCTAAGAGCCTGTAAGACTTACCAAATTCCCAGCCAGCAGCGGAGCCAGTCCGGGCCCCCAGGCTTCCTCTGCAGTGCACTGGTGTTAGTCACCAAGAGTGTCCCCCGAGATGGCGGGTTCACTGCTGTGCTGTCCCCTGTAGACAGGCATGAGAAACGCCACAGAGCAGCAGATTTGGTTTCATGCCTGGTCACTCTACTTCCTTAGCCTGGAGCCTCAGACGCCCTGGCCTCCAACCAACATCTCGCCCATCAGATAGCTGGGCTGGGGGAAGTTGGTTGAACAGAGTTACACCATTGCCCAATTTGTGGAAATGATGTCTACAAAATTGTCTCGCCGGACACAGGCTGTGCAACTGTACCCAGCAACCCTACAGCTGAGGCCTGGCACAGAGGCCATCTCTCTCCATTAACTGTTCTCCTGGTACCTCTATCCACTTGGTCTTGTACACAGAACTCAGGGTGAAGGAGGTTAAGTAATATCTCTGGCCCCTGTCCTGACACAGCCCAGTCAGTATAGGCCTTGGTTTGCCGGCCTGTAATGTGAAGGTTCTCTCTTCTCCAGAGCCAGTCATTATCCTCAGCCACAAGGCTCTGCCACTTTGCTACTCTGGCCCTGGCCCTGGCCCTGTTGGCAGCCTTAGCCCAGGTGGATGCCCAGAGGATGGGAAGGACCCAGGGTGGGGCTCACCCACGAACCTGGTGCTTCATCGGCTTCCTCCAGCGTTCTGCACACCCTCTCAGCTGCCGGCTTCAGTCTTCACAGGTGGGAGTGGGCTGGCAGTCAAGCTCTGAGGTTCTGGATCAGGGGTCCCCAAGGTCCTGGTGGGCCAAGGAGGATGATTCTCAATGCTTTCTCCAGCTCTCCCGCAGTGGTTGAGTCTTAGCTCCTGGGAGTTCATTGGCTGAGGGAGTGTGTGTGTGTGTGTGTGTGTGTGTGTGTGTGTGTGTGTGTATGTGTGTGTCATAGGACTGGGGAGTATATGATATGGGTGTCTGGCTAGGGCATCTGGATTAAAAGGAGAGGATTTAATCTCAAACGCAGTGGGCTATCACTAGGCATCCCCCTGGCATCCCCATCTTTGAGGGAGGGAGAGGGCCGTGGAGGGAGAGCTGCTCCCAGATGAAGGCTCCAAGCGCACGAACCTGCTCTGTAGTCCCCTACACCTTCGTCTATCCCTGCTACCCGCACTGAGTCTGCCAGACCTTAGTCCTGGGCTAGTTTCCCCCAAATAGAGGCTTCTGGGCCTATGTGCTGATGTTCGCCATGCCACCTCTGTGTATGCCTTGAATTTCATCTCTGTCCTCAGCATACACCTTTTCAGCTCTTCTGCCCTTGTTTTGGGTAACCTTTGAAAGTCAAGGGAGTTGTGGGGGGTTGTCTGTCTGTCTGTTTATTTTGGATAGTGCTGGAATGGAACTCAGGGCTTCAACCACTACTGTACCACTAAACAAACACCTCTAAGCCCTGAAAGGAGGTAGTTTTTTGTTTTATGTGAATTTTTGTTTAAGACAGGATCTCCACTTTAGTCACATAGTGGCTTTCCTAGAACTTACTATGTAGACCAAGCTGTCCTAGAACTCACTATATAGACCAGGCTGTCCTAGAACTCACTATATAGACCAGGCTGTCCTTGAACTCACAAAAATCTGTCTGCCTCTACCTAGGCGGTGCTAAGATGAAAGGCATGCACCACCACTCTCTGGCTCTAAAGGGAATTTTAAAGATGGTTTGCTTGATATATTTCCTTCTCCCCGCCCGGCTACCTCATGCCACACAGCACAGGCGACCCTTCTGAGCTTCCTGTGTGTCTAACATTAAGACTGAGGCCTGGGACTGACCATGCCCTGGGACCAGTGGATGAGTAGGGAGTGGCAAGGGGAAGCAGAAGGGAGAGGACAGCATGCTTTATAATTAAACTCCAATCAAAAAATAGAAACAGCATCAAGTGTGCAGAGACAGGCGACTGGAAGCCGGCAGTCCACATTGCCCGTCAGAGAAGATTACAGCCTGGGCAGGATCTTCTTACAGGTGGGTGGAATGGCCCTAACCCAGAGGCCCCTGAGAATGCTGGGTAGTGGTGCCCAGAGCACCTCTGCCTATGTTATGTGTGTTGGGCAACTGTGAGGATTGGGTTGGGGGTCCAAATGGGTCAGAGGCTCAGAACTTGGCCTCTCCCCACTATGTGACCTTGGGCCTACTACTTTATCTCTCTGAGCCTCGGTTTTCTCATCAGAAAAGTGGGGACATCAATACTGCCTGCTTCCTAAGAGCACTCTGTGGACTCGGGAAGTTATGATTTCCAGGCTCTGTCTGGTCTGTAATGTGTCTCCGTAAGAAGCACAGAGATCCAGGTGAAACCTCTGCTGACTGTAGCGACCTCTCCACTCCAAGGCTCTGCTGAGTCCTGAAAGAATGAGGGTGATTACAGCGATATAAATAACGTGATGCTCCATTCATGGGGCATCTCCCATGATGCAAGGAGTCTAGGAGGCGTCTATCATTGATGATGTCATGGCATCTTCTTCTAGCAGCCCCTAGTGAAGATTCAGGCTTAGAGACTCTCACTCTGGCCCATCTTCCTCCAGGGGTGCAGGGATGCACACTGGGCAGAGACCACCACAGGCTCACCCTTGGCATCTGCCTGCCATGGTCCCCAAGGTCCCTTTCCCAGACTCCTCAATACTCTATAGTGAGAACTCCATCATCCCCACCTGGCCTGTGCTCCCCTGGGGGCGAGGGGAGGCAGGGGAGACCAGGAGGAACATGTCCTGGGGTCACAGCAAACCACAGCCCTGTCCCCAGGTGGCCAGACAAGGCCTGAACTGTGGGCATGCAGGGTGACATTCTAGAAGGCCGTGGGTCCTGTGAGAACGTGGAAGAAGGCAGCAGAGAACAAGCTGGAGATGAGGCCAACAGAAAACCAGTGTGTACCCCTGTAAACAGCGGCAGTGTTTGCCCACAGAGGCAGCTGCTTGCTGAAGCTACAGGGAATCAGAGGCCAGGTACCGACAGGGAGCAGCTAGCCTGAGTGTGAAGGAACAGGCCTGTTCTTACAGGACATTCAGCCATGTCTCATTTCATGGCCAAGATGTACAAGTCAGTGTCAAGTGGGGGCCTCTGTAAACTAAGAGGCGGCAAGAATCAAGGGAACTGTGTCGCTGAACTGCCTTTGGGGGTGGGGTAGGGGGTATAGCTAAGCTTAAGGGATGGGTCACTGAGGGAGTGGATCCAGCTTTGACTGAGCAGTTAGCCGTGCTACATACACCCTGAGCAGCAGAAGTAAGGTCCTAAGTATGACCTGACAACGAGACCCTAAGTTCAAGAATAACCTTTCCTACAGATCTAGGCATGGAAGGCTAAAAACTGCCTCTAAACCCCTGACATGGTTCCTGGGGCACAGTTGTGCTGCCTGGCAGTCACTGGCCACCAGGGGGCAGCCTTACCCCATGTCAAATTTAGCAGGCCTGTGAGGGGCCTGTGGTTTTCCAAAATTCCTGGCTGGTTCCACTCAGAGCTGGAGCTGTTTACCTGGGGGCTCCAGACCAGAGTGACTGTTGGACTCCTCTGGACTCGGGGTCCCCTCCAACCCAATGTCCCTTGGTCTGGCTTTACTTCATGTAGAATCACTCTGTCTCTTACAGCCTGCAAAATACCAGAGAGTCTACAGAAGTCAGGCGACCCTAACAATTTTTCGCATGAAGAGCTCAAGTCAAGACAGGAATGAAAACTAGCTTAGGTCACAGAATGTATCCTGGCCAAGTTTTAAGTCTGTTCTCTGGGTACCTCTTCAACTGGTCCCGCATATTCAGGAGGGTTTTAGGGATGCATATCTTCAATCCCAGAGACACCAGGGAGAGGGGCCCAGCCTTGCTCTCTCCCACCCCCAGCCCCCATTGGCTCGAATGCATGGACCTGGAATTCTAGCCGCTTCACAGCATCTGTGTTCTGGACGGAATCTGCCTTAGGACTGTTCTACTCACATGCAGAATCCCGCCCCTGCACTCAGTCCCCCATTCCTGGCCCCTGACCATGCCCTAGGTAGGTGGCAGGCCACTCAGCCTGCCCTGAGAGGTCACAGTGGGGGATGAGGGAAAAAGCCCGGTCCTCACTTCCTCCCAGCTCACCATCCACCCGCTGGGTGAGCCTGGCCAAGCCAGTGGCCTCCTGGGTGCCTGTTTCTTTTTCCCGTCTTGGCACTGCCTACCAGAAGGAAAAGATGCTGTACCCAGTCTGTACCTTCTCTAGTTACTCTTTGAGGGAACCAGGGGAAGTTGGCCAAGATAGGTCCCCCTTCCCTCTATGGCACCAGGCCCGGGTTCTGGTTCCTCTGACACCCCAGCTCTGCAGGGTCCCGGATGGCCTGAGCCAGCTGACTCCAGACACAGTCCACCCCATCCGGGTGAGGCCTGCACAGCTGCACTGGCCCGAGTCACGGGGGTAAGGAGGAAAAGCCTGGGACCTGTAGGCAGATGTGTAACTGAGCCCTGACAGGCTCCCTACAGGAGACACGTATGTTGGTGACCATCCCCTGGCAAGTGGAAGGTTTGGGGAAGGAATTGAAGTCACTCGGAAGTAGTTATCAACCCCAGGGTTGTCATCAGCCATTTGTCTTTGAATGTCACTGAAGTGACACCCTGAGTGCCAGTGTCCCTCTGTGGAAAACGAGGGACAGAACACAAGTGAGACATTCTGCAGATGAGAGGCCTCAGCTCACCTGGCGGGAGAAAGCTCACTAGTGCCAGCGTGTAGCTGGGCTACTCTGACCCTGGCTAATGCTCTGATCAAGCACCTGGAAGTGGGGGTTTAAGGCCCAGACCTAGAGACAGCAGGGGTGGGGGTTGAGCTGCCTGGGTTTGGATGGACATCCTGAGTCCTTTCTGAGAGTCTCAACAAGCTGGGGTTTCTAGTGGCTTAAGGGGTAAGGTCTGTACTGATTTTCCTACAGAGATTTCCAAGGTCCCCAAGACCAAAGTTTCTAACACCCATAGCCTCAGGAAAGGTCTGCTTAGCGCCATGGCATCGACAAGGGAATTCTAGTTCTCCTTGTTCCCAGGGAACAGGTTCTAGGTTCCAGCCTCATTCAGCATAGCTGAGACTGGCCCCACAGCATCCCAGGGGCTCCTGGTACTGCATCACAGCCCTCCCTATCCACTGACTCCGTCCCTGGGGAGTCTGCTCCAGCTGCTGTCGTGGCCACTCTGTTCCAGGATGGACTCACTGCAGAAGCAGGACCTTCGGAGGCCTAAGATTCATGGGGCGGTCCAGATGTCCCCCTACCAGCCACCCACGCTGGCCTCACTGCAGCGATTGCTGTGGCTCCGTCGGACCGCCACCACACTGACCCACATCAATGAAGTCTGGCCCAACCTTTTCTTGGGAGATGCGTAAGTGAGACCCACGGAGGAGCTGGGTGGGCAGAAGGGTGAGTGGCAGGACAAGCCTCCTCCAGTTGGCATCTCTGCTTCTCAGCATCACCTACACTTGTCTTTCCTCTGATGTCTATTATGGAAGTAGAACACAGGTAAGAAAAAGATACAAAATACACACACAAGCAGTTTCATCTTTCAGAAACAAGGAGTTACTTATGCAAGTTCCCTTTCTCGGTGGATAGCCACACTTTAAGTGACTTTTTTTTTTGACAAGGTATCAAGTACCCCAAATTGGCTTGAACTCCCTATATACCTGAGGACACCCTGGGCTTTTGACCCTCCAGCCTCCACCTCCAAAGTACTGGATTGCAAGTGTACATCACCACGACTGTTTCATGCTAGCGATCAAACCCAGGGTGTATGCTAAGTAAATCGTGTGTGCGAAGTAAGCACTCCACAAATTAAGCTACGAGCCTATCCTGTCTAAAATAATTGTCATCATCATTGACATGAAATCTCACTGTGTAGCCCTGTCTGTCCCAGAATTCACTAGGTAGAACAGGCTGACCTCAAACTCATAAAGATCCTCCTGCCTCTGCCTTTTAAATGTTGGGATTAAGTCATGTGCGACTTTGCCAGTCTCATTGGGTTTTTTGTTTGTTTGTTTGTTTTGTTGTTGTTATTGTATTCAAAACAGGGTTTTTCTGTAGCTTTGGAGCCTGTCCTGGAACTAACTTTTGAGACCAGGTTAGCCTCAAACTCACAGAGATCCGTCTGCCTCTTCCTCCCGAGTGCTGGGATTAAAGGTGTGTGCCTCCACTGCCCAGCTCCTTTTGCCTGCCTTCTAAAGTTAGAGTGAAATGATTCTTAAATCGTTTTCTGTCTTGTGGGGCTAAAGAAGTGGCTCAGCAGTTCAGAGCACTTACTGTTCTTGCAGAAGATCTGAGTTTGGTTCCCAGCACCCACATGGCAGATTACAACTCCAGATCCAGGGATCTGATGCCCTGTTCTGACTTCCACAGGCTCCTTCATGCACACGGTGCACGTAAACTCACAGGAGCACACACATGCATATAAATTTAAAAGGAACTTTTTGTGTGTATGCATGTGTATATCTGTATGTATTCATGTGTGAACACATTTGCATACTTGCTACAGTGCATATGTGGAGGTCAGAGAACACATCTTCTGTCTATTGTCCATTGCTGTACATGCCAGGCTAGCCAGCCCACGAGCTTCCGGGGACCTTTCTGTCTCCACCATCCATCTCATCATAGAAGCCATGGTATATTACAGACCCACACTACTGCATTTAGATTTTATGTGGGTGCTTGGGATTTGAACTTCAGGTCTTCACACCTGTATGACAAACAGCTCATATTGTGTGTATTCATGGACAGCATCATTTGTTTCAAATTATGTGACACAATGTTATTCTATGTAGATGTAGCTATTATTATATAATATTTCACCGTGTGACTATACCATAAATTCTTCATTTGTACTGACCCTTATTTATTTATTTATTTATTTATTATGTATACAATATTCTGTCTGTGTGTATATCTGCAGGCCAGAAGAGGGCACCAGACCTCATTTCAGATGGTTGTGAGCCACCGTGTGGTTGTCAGGAATTGAACTCAGGACCTTCGGAAGAGCAGACAATGCTCTTGACCTCTGAGCCATCTCTCCAGCCCAGTGGCCCCACTTTTAACTACTATAGTGGTCCAAGAACTGTTTAGGAAAGGTGTCCTGGAAAAATATGAGTTTCCCAAGATTTCTACAAGAGAAAAGAGACAGACAGACAGACACAGAGGAAAAAAACTTGTTTTTCCCTAAAAGTTTTCTTAAACTTTGGGAAATATAGACGTAACTATTAAGTGGGCTGGAGCGCTGACTCAACAGGTCACTGGGTGCTTTCCAGAGGTCCTGAGTCAGTTCCCAGCACCCACGTGGCAGCTCACAACTGTTGTCCCATGGGATCCGATGCTCTCTTCTGATGTGCAGATGGACATGCAGGAAAGGCCGACACACACACAAATACATCTTTAGGACTAATTAAAACATGGATTAATATTTAGTTAACAATATTCCCCTTTCCACAGAGATGAAAATCCTTGTAGAATTTTAAAAATATGTGCTTTTTCACAGTTCTATTTTGGGTAAAAATGGCATGGCTTTCAATACTGTTTTGAGATAAGCTTTCTACAGAAAGCTTTCTACACGACGCCTACTACATAGTTAAAAATTCTTATAGCAGTCTGTCTTAGATCTTGTATTTTCACAGGTTCTTGATAAAATGTAAACATCTTTCCTTGTTTACCTGCATTTACCATATTTTAGTGATTCATGGCATTTCATAATTTATACACACAGGAATTTGCTTCACGCAAGGGGTGTGTTCCGCTTCCCCCAGTGGGTATACAAACTGAAGACAGTGTCAAATGCTCACAATATATGCTGGCTTTTTTCCTACTAATAAATACCTTTGTAAAGTTTAGTTTGTAAATTAGATTAAGAAAGTAACACTGATAATAACAAGACAGCAATTACTATATTAAGTAAGGGCTAACTGAACACAGGCCTGTGGTACTGTGACAGTTAACCTTATAACCGAGAAAGCTTCTAAACAATTGAAGTAGCATACGCAGTGCAGATATACTGACCTTGTTCTAGCTGGATAAAACATTGACCAAAGCCAGCTTGGGGAGGAAAGAGTTTCTTTGGATTACAGATACGGTTGGCTGTCAGCAGAAGCCCAGGCAGGAGCTGAAGCAGACACTGTGAAGGAACACTGCCTATGACTTGCTCCCGCTGGCTTGCTCAGTGACCTTTCTTCTACAGCCAGGCCCACCTGCTAGGGATTGCACCACCCACAGTGGGCTGCATCCTCTTATATCAATTAGCAACTGAAAAATGCCCTCGTTCCTAGGCCAGACAGGGTGGCAGTTCCTCAATTGAGTTCCTCTACATAGATCTATAAAGTTGATCTGTTAGCCATAGCAGCCTTGGACACAATATGGCAGGACAGTGCAAAACTTAAAATCTATTAATTGTTTACTTATAAACTTAAAAAAATATTTTGAAGCCACAGTTGACTAATGAAACTGTGACAAGTTAAACCACAGATGCAAGGATTGCTGTACCATACTTAACAACCTATTATAAAAAAATTAAGTTCATTTTCTGTCAAAAAAAAAAGTTCTCAGCTGGGCACTAGTGGCACTAAGTCACTTTAATCCTAGCACTAAGGAGGCAGAGGCAGGAGGATCTCTGTGAGGTCAAGGCCAGCCTGGTCTACAGAGCAAGTTCCAGGACAGCCAGGGTCTACACAGAAAAACCCTGTCTTGAAAAAAAATTCTCTTCCCTAATATTTCAGTTTTAAATACCACTAAATTCAACGTCTATATTGTCTGTTGGCACATTTTGAATTCTTCCTTTTAATCTGTTCCTAGAAGAAAGTGTTTACACAAAGTCTACACATATTTCTAAAGCTTTGGATGCATGTAGTTAAACGTCCCTCCAGGAAGTTTCCCGGGGTAAGAGGTCTAAAACAGTGCTTCTCAACCTGTGGGCCACGACCCCTTTAGGGGTCGAACGACCCTTTCACAGAGGTCGCATAGAAGATAGCCTGTATATATCAGATATTTACATTATTCTTCATAACAGTAGCAAAATTACAGTTATGAAGTAGCAGCAGAATAACTTTCTGGCTGAGGGTTGCAGCGTTAGCCAGGGTGAGAAGCGCTGCTGTAGGTGTTGCCCTCATCAGAGACGTTCACGGGCCAGTCGCTACCCTTGGAGGAGAACAGAGGCGTGAGGTTAAGTTCTGACCCTGTGAGATACACCTTCACCCCCTAACTCCTCATGTGCCCTTCCCCCAGGTATGCTGCCCGAGACAAGAGTCGTCTTATCCAACTGGGCATCACCCATGTTGTGAACGTCGCTGCAGGCAAGTTTCAGGTGGACACCGGTGCCAAGTTTTACCGCGGAACACCTCTGGAGTACTATGGCATCGAGGCTGATGATAACCCCTTCTTTGACCTCAGTGTCTACTTTCTGCCTGTTGCTCGATACATCAGAGATGCCCTCAATACTCCCCGAAGTGAGCAGCTGGGGACGGGATTGGGCAGGTTGGGGTCAGGGAGGGATGAGGCGTCATCCATTTCCCCAGTAGCACCGTGGGTAGGAAGCCTGTGGCACCAACCCCATCAGCGACCGTCCTACTCTAAAGAGCAGGTGCCTGTCACCACTTAATGAGCCTGCCGTGGAGCCTGACAGTTGCAGATAGGGGGCTGGAGAGATGGCTCAGGTGTACAGTGCTTGCTGTACACCATGAAGATCGGTAGTCACTCCCTGGAACCTACTTAACAAATGCAGGCAGGGTAATGTGTGCTTGTTATCCCGGCCTTAGGGAGATGAAAATCAGGATATCTGAGTGAGGTTCACTGGCAGGGCAGCCTAGCCAGTAAGAGACCCTGTCTCAAAAACCAAAGGTAGACAGAGCCTGAGGAGCAACCAACACAGTTGACTTCTGGCCTTGATATGCATGTGTACACATATGCGTACACACCTATACACTCATGTGTACCACCACATCAACACACACACACACACACACACACACACACACACTCCATTATGGTCACTAGTATAACTCTATCCTTTAGAAAGAGGCCATCCCATTAGGCAGAAATCACAACACCTAGCCAAAGACTCAGGAAACATAAGTAGGTACAAGGCTTCATGGGCGAGAGAGAGAAAGAGAGAGAGAGAGAGAGAGAGAGAGAGAGAGAGAGAGAGAGCAGGCTGAGGGGAAAGGAAGAGGGTATTCCCTGTGATGTAAATCCAAGGAACTCTAGAAGTTTGGTGACCCTCTCCTAGCGTTGCAATGGCTATCAGAGGATGCCCCTCTGGACCAAAAGAGGGGACCCACGTGTTCATGTTAACCCTACACTACATTGCTATGTGACCTTGAGCCTCCCTTGCCCCATATGACAATGAGGACAGTGTCCGGTTTCCAGGGTGTTGGGACAGGTGGACAGAAGGGATGACCAGAGCTGTCCCTTTTCCCCAAAGGTGAGGTGGGTGCAGGTGGCCAATGCTAGGTTGGGTCTTCCTACAGACCGCGTGCTGGTCCACTGCGCCATGGGGGTAAGCCGCTCGGCCACAGTTGTCCTGGCCTTCCTCATGATCTGCGAGAACATGACGCTGGTCGATGCCATCCAGACGGTGCAGGCCCACCGAGATATCTGCCCCAACTCGGGCTTTCTCCGACAACTCCAGGTTCTGGACAACAGGCTGAGGCGGGAATCAGGGCGACTCTGACTCAGGGGGCGCCTGAAGCCCTGACCCCTCCATCCAGCGTGGTCCAACCTGACATGCCTGGCCCTGGGGAAGAGAGTCTCTGCTGTTTCCAGAGCCCCTGACGTGTTACCAGCAAGTCAGGGCTCCACTGAGGCAGAGGCAGGGCGGGCTGGGTGGCACTTTCAGCAGGTGGAGTCCCTGACCCAATACAGAAATTCTTTATGCTGAAGAAAATTCAGTCTGTCTCTATAATAAAAGGTTCATCATAATAAAGGATGTGTGTGAGACAATGGCTTTATTGTCGCGAAGGCCAGGAGCCTAAGGATGGCTTGCTGGTTCTGACTCAGCAGCCTTGGCAGAGGGAGGAGCCTGAGGGCATGACAAGGCCCCCTGAAGAGGGAGTGCAGGAGGGGATCAGTTAGTGATAATGTCGTGAGGAAGTGTGATGCAGTGCTGGGGACTGGGCAATTTCTTCCTCCTCCTGTCCCTTTCATACCCTCACCCAGGGCTAAGTTCCAAGGGTCACATCCTTTCTGAGCCATGGTCAAAATTCACTTTTGGGGGTCAGCAAGATGGCTCATCAAGTAAAGGTGCCTGTAGTGCGAGCCCTGACAACCCGAGTTCAGTCTCCACCTTATAAAGGAGAGAATGGTCTCCATGATGGTGTCCTCTGACCCCCACATTCATGCCATGGCACACGTACACACCCTAACACAGTAATAGTAAAGCAAGTGAAGTTTACTTTAAAATAAAGCGACTTAAGGTCCAGTGCTGCCAAACCTGAGGGCTTGAGCTCTGCCCGGCCACAGGGCAGAAAGAGAGAAGCATCTCCCTCTAATGGTCCTCCCCCCTCCACATACCTACTGTGACGTGACTGCGCTGCCTCCAAAACACAGGCATACGAACACAAGTGAACACTCTGAAAAACTCACTGCGGGTGCTGGGGTGCAGTGCAGTGGCCAGCACTTGTCTGGTGTATGTGTGTAAACCCCTGGGTTTGGTCCACGATGCCACGAACAACAAAGCCGCAAGCTTTGGAAGCTCAAGGCCAGCCTAGACGACATCGTAGCTTCCAGGCCAGGGGCTAGGGATGCAGCTCAGGAGAGTGCTTGCCTACTGTATACAGGCTCTAGGTTTGGTCCTCAGTGTCTTAAGGTTTCTATTGCTGTAAAGGATACCAGGGCCGTGCAGCTCTTCTAAAGGAAAATATGTAACTGGGGCTGGATTACAGTTTCAGAGGTTAAGTCCATTATTCTCATGGCAAGAAGCATGGTGGCATGCAGGCAGGCATGGTGTTAGAGAGGTGGCTTAGAGCTCCACATCTGGATTGGCAGGCAGCAGGCAGACAGAGTGGCCCTGGGCCTGGCTTGAGCATTTGAAATCTCAAAGCCTGCCCCCAGTGACACTTTTCCTCTAAGGTCACACCCACTCCAACAAGGCCACAGCCAACAGTGTCACTTCCTATGCACTTGTGGGGGCCATTTTCATTCAGATCATCACATCCAGTGTGACATAAACCACGTGTGCACATGTCTCAGCCAATCCCAGCACTTGGAAGATAGAGGCACAAATATCAGAAGTTCAAGGTCATCCCCAGTACATAGTGAATTTGAGGCCAGCCTGGGCTACATGAGAAAAGGAAGAAGACAGGACAGAAAGATCCCCTTGGGTTCCTCACTGGTAAACAGCATAGCCCTGGCCTGGTTTTGAGGGTGAAATGATAGGTTTTTCCCCCTATCATTTCCCCCTATCAGTCTTTGGCTGTTCCCGTTTGTCCTATGCTTTCTCTGTCTGACCCTAACTAAGAGTATGAAGATTTCTCCTGGTTCTGTCCTCTTGCCTCCCTGATGCTCCTACATTTCTGTGTCAAATACCTGATAGAAGCCACTTAAAGAAAGACATCATTATTTTATGGTTCACAGTTTCTGACAAAATTAATGGTAGCTCCATTCGTGGCAGCAGGAATGTAAGGCTGCTCACACTGTATGCCCAGGAGTCAGAGAACTCAGTGGGGTGTTTGAACGAGAACAGCGCACAAAGGCTCATGTGTTTGAACGTTTGGTCTTGCTGCCCAAAGATCAGTACATAAAGCTCTCAGCTACTGCTCCAGCACCAAACCTGTCTGCTTCCTGCCATGATGACCACGGACTAATCCTCTAAAATTAAAAGCCAGCAAGCCCCCAGTTAACTGCTTTCTTTTATAAGAGCGGCCTTGGTCAAGGTGTCTTTTCACAGCAACAGGGCAGTGACTACAACATCAGGCCAGATGCAGAGATCTCGGGCTAACACTAGAATGTAGACAGTCACCTGTAACACATCTCTGTGTCCCAAAAGGCTCCAAAACCTCCCCAGACTGCACCTCCAGCTGAGATCCAAACATTCAAACAAATGAGCCTGGAGGCCATTTCAGACTCAAACCATAAGAGCTGCCATCCTGGACGAGGTTCTGAAGCCCCTTCAGGTACAGCTCCATGGGTCCCTGGACCATCAGCTGTGGGGTTCATACCACTATGACCTGGCCCCATAACAAAGGCCATGAAAGAGACACGATCCTGCCATGTTTCAGGACTGGGTGGTCTCTGCTCCAGCTGCACTTGCATGCACTGTGAATCCTTCAGAGTCCCCACCAAGACAGCAGAGCCCTTATGGTTTCCCTGCCTTTTCCCAAGGCAGCCCTAGATTCTCAACTCCATCTACAGAGTCCCAAGAATGTGCCCTGCTGAAACCTGAGCTGTAGGCCAAAGGGAAGGCTCTGTCCCAGCCTCCAGACGCCCTAGTCCAGGCAGCAGGGGCAGCCTGCCCACACGAACACACCAGGATGACTCTGGAGCCACTATTTTGGATGTTGCTGACAGCGTATGAGCCAGAAATAGCAACAAGGACTGAGTTGTCTGTCAGGAGAAGAACCTCTGGGCGTTGGGGGTAAGTAGATTGGGCTGCTACCTAGGACTGTGTCTGATCTGGTTAATTCCAGGCCCCACCAACTCCAGGTTGAACTGGAAACAGCTGTCTCTGCCTAGCTCTCCCTAGCGTTGGAGCAGCCATATATGGTCTGGCCTAGATTCTGGGATGAAGCTGGGCACAGCAGCATGAGCCGTGTGCCGTGCTCCCGCTGGGACATAAAGCCCCTCTACACGAGGGCACCTAACAGCCATCTAGAACTGGGACCAAGTGTCCCAGAGATGTGACAGTGTCCGCTGTCCTAGAGCGGCTCTTGCCCTAGAGCCTGAACCCACACCCCATTCCGATTTCTTCCTCAGAGTCTCAGTTTGCTCGTCTATAAAATGGGGTTGTGAGTCCATTCCCATCAAGCCAGAATACTTCTATGTAGACTATGAATTGCAAAAGAAATAAAGGGAAGTCAAGGTCCAGCCCAGGTCAACTTCACTCGGCCAGGTACCCTGACTTAGGGAACTGTCCACTTAGGAGGAAGAGACACATTTTCTTTCAGGCATTGCTCAAGAGTGCTTCTGTCCATAAATGTAGTTCTCTTGGATAAGCTACCTTGTCCAGTCTGCACAGCGGGGAAGCACTCACCAGAGAAGATGATCACTTCCCAGTCCCCCAGGGTTGGACTGGCTGGGGAAAGGTAAAGGAAGCTGACTAACATTTGTCAGGTGAGTGTAACTGTTGTTTTTTACTCTTTGCTCTGCTGGGGGTCTGCCACCCAGCTCCCAAATAAATCACCAACATGGAGTCTTACTCTTTTTTATAAATGTCCAGTCTTAGCTTGACTTATTTCTAGCCAGCTTTTCTTTTTTTTTAAAAAAAAATTATTTTTATTTTATGTACATTGGTGTTTTGCCTGCATGTATGCCTGTGTGAGAGTGTCGGATCCCTTGCAAGGGAGGAGTTACAGACAGATGTGAGCTGCCGTGTGGGTACTGGGGATTGAACCCTGGTCCTCTGGAAGAGCAACCAGTGCTCTTAACTGCGGAACCATTATCCAGCCTCTAGCCAGCTTTTCCTAACTTAAATTATCCCATCTACCTTTTGCCTCTGGTCTTTTCTCACTTCGGTGCATCTTACTTTCACTCTTACTCTGTGGTTAGCTGGGTAGCTGGGTGGTTGGATGGCTGGGTAGCTGGGTGGTTGGGTTATTGGGTGGCTGGGTAGCTGGGTAGCTGGGTGGTTGGGTGTTTGGGTGGCTGGGTAGCTGAGTGTTTGGTTGGCTGGGTAGCTGGGTGGTTGGGTGTTTGGGTGGCTGGGTAGCTGGGTGGTTGGGTGGCTGGGTGGCTGGGTAG